CTTAGACAACTGGAGGACAAATTGACCTAATTTCCTTGAATAAATTGTTAAAATTGAATAGTTTTCATTTGATACTATTTCTATCTTAACGTGTTTCACCTGGTCCTCATCTAAGTGCTTGCAGGTGTTTCCTGATTACCTCTTTTCATAGCATCCAGTATTTAGTCTGAGAGCTGCACACGCAGCTTGACTGGAGCATTATCCTCTCATGGTGTCATGATCTGGTCCACCTGTCCTCATCCATCCACCCGCTTCGTCTGCACTGGGGCCCCCCGCCGGGGACTAGGTAAGTCGTTGCTGCCCCATCAGCATTCTGTTACGTTAGTGCAGTTAACTCATTGTCATTTTTGTCTCCCCTCACCATCCGGTCCTCCTGAATGCGGGTCCAGCCCTTCCCCGCCGGGTCCCGGTCTCCGCCTGCAAACAGGTTCTACTCTCTTCTCGCCAGATTTAGACATTCACGACCTGCCATTGTGTATCTGTTCCTCCTTCCTGTTCCTCTCAAACCCAGCTGGTTGAAGCAGATGGCCACTTGTCCTGATCCTGGTTCTGATAAAGGTTTCTTTCTCACGAGGGAGTTTTTAGTTTTTCCTTTCCACTGTCGCCTTCATGCTTGTTCAAGATGAGAGTGTGTGATGAAGTTAAACTCAAAGCAGTCTGCTCCTCACATAAATAACGTTATTAATTGACTTTTTATGTATATGAATGTTTCTGTTCAGTGCCCTGAGATGACTTCTGCTGTGACTTGGTGCTTTATAAATAAAGTGAATTGAAAAAGGACTCGTTAAATGAACATCTGAAACTAATTAACTTTTGGAGTCAACCTAATTCAAGATGGCGGCCACAAACAACTGACCTCAAAAAACATAAAAACAGCTACAAATATATAAATTTAATGAAAGTACCAATTAACATTACAATTCAGGAAAATCATAAAAAAATGCACATTAAAACTATAATTAACATTTTTACTTGAATTGTAAAATATCATCAGTGCAACAACAAATTAATCATAATTGAGTTTTCTGACTACAACGGTACAATTCACATATGCCCAGAAGCAATTAACAGCAAGGAGGTGAAAAACCAGTAAACACGCAAATAAACACCATGTATAAGAAGAACGCGTCCGTTTTTTTATAACCTTGTCAGCCACAGTGATGGATTATGACTAATTACACAGCAGCTCCTGCTGAGACGTCACTGAGACACACTGAAACTTGGTTCCCGGCCCTGATGGCTGCTGAGCCCAGCTGCAGAGGGGAGACAAAAACACACCTCCCCTCAGCAGTTAAACTGCCTGTAGTTACTCCGTGCAAAGAAAGCTGCTGCGACTGGTTTCAGTAATGCACAACACATCAGCAGTTCTAAAAGCATTATGCCCTGAAGGGGGAACAAACGACAAAGTTCGTCATTTTTCATTTGTTACAGCGCTGATGTGACAGATCTGGTCCTATGTCATCATAAAAGTCTTTTAATGGGAGGCTGATGGTGCAGCAACACTCGGATGGAAGTTTTAAATCTGCTAAAAAATGCACAATCACTGGCTGATGAGTTTGACTAAGAGGGTCGGGGAGTAATGGTCTGCATGAAGGAGCATTAAAGCTGCTCTCCAAGGAGACGGGCTGCATCAGAGGTATCGTTCTCATTGTCACTTTATCGCACGCGTACAGACCCAAAAAATTATTTTCTTCTGTTAATGGAAGAACAACCCACATTTAGGACTGAAATAACTTAAACGGGTAAAATAAGAATTAATTTACTGGAGATCAACTAATAAAAAAATCAAACATTTGAATTATTATTCAACAGAATAATAAGTAGAGGGTTCCATCCTTTCTATCAAGGCCAAAGTTGTTGTTTTTTTCCATTAGTTTGTTATTGAAAACAATTCTGTCAATAATGATACAATTATTAACAACAAATTCAGCTAATATATACTTTCAGAAAGTTTAACTAATCAATTTCTTATTCTAAAATTTGTCAAATGTTTAAGTTAGAAAGATTTTTTCTCTGGCAGTTTTTCAGATGTATTGATGTACAATTCTAAAATGCTGGTACGCACTCAGTGTAAACACAGTGTTCTGCTGAATCTGATGTAAGCGGAAGCTTATCTGCATACTGTGCTCAACAAATCTGAGCATGTATACGCACCAACATGTGAAAAGCGTCACATTACTTTATTTTAAATGGCTCTTCTGAGAACACCGTCACTGTTGACCTATTTTCAGTCACTTCAGCTGTTTTCGTAGGTAAAACAATATACGTGGTAGTTTTAATTATAAACGTTTGGTTTAAAAACACAATAACCATTGATATGATTAAAAAAGTATGCATTTTGTATTTCACCTTTTTTTTTTTTTTTACCAGTCTTTAATACGTTGCAGTCATTATTTTTAATTATTGTAGGATTCTGCCATAACCACCTTCCCACAGCTGACAATCATCGAATCCACCACACCTGCACCTGGTTTTCAACCAGCACCTCTGCACTACTTAAATCTCTGCCAGATGTTCAACCAACGCTGGAGCATTAATTGCCTCAATTGGGTAATTGAGCGACAGCCTGAAATCTGAACTTGTGAAACTTGTGACTAACCTCTTGATATTTTCTGTTCAGTTCTTCTCTGCCGTGTCTCCTGGACTTCCTGCTGGCTCCTTGGCTTCATCTGGATCACCAAACCCAAACACCATTACTCAGCTTGAATCCAACTCGGGACTATAAAACCATCCACTGCTTCTTTGGATTTCACCTTCCCAATCGGATCGACTTGCATAGTCCCTTCTCCAGCACGACTAGCTATACAAACTACCGTAAGATATTTCTACAAACAATAATCTATTAACTGGAAAACCCTGATCACATCTTACTCATCTTGTTTCCCACTTCCTCCCACAGCCAAATCCCTGACTCCCACACTGTAAAATAAACACACTTCTATTGTAAGTCTGAGTCTTTTCAGTTTTATTTGAGGGTCATAAAACATACAATCATGTTAATTATTCAGATGTAAAGCCAAGGATTACTTTCTGAGCATTTCATCAAATGTTTTGCTAACAAGACTGACACATCTGACTCCATTAGTTGGTAATAAAGTTTTATAAAATCTAATTTTGCTTGATCTGCAAGTCCACAGACCATGTTGGGAATGACTATTAGCTACTACAACACCAACATTTAGGCTCATTTTCTGTACATTTCTGCTGACTTATTGTCATTTTTCTGGTTAGATAGACTCAATAACAACAGCCTCAGGGTAGAAGCTGTTCCTCAGTCTAGTGGTTTTACACTTAATGCTCCTTAACCTCCTTTTTGAGGGGAGCGGGGCAAAAAGTGTGTGTGCTGGGTGAGTGGGGTCCTTCATGATGCAGGTGGCCCTTTTCCTGCATCTCCAGGTGTAAATGTCTGTGAAGGTGGAGAGGCTGACACCAACAGTCTTCTGTGCAGCCTTCACCACTCTCTGCAAAGCTTTTCTTTCTGCAGCTGTGCAGCCTTCATGCCACACGTTGATGTTGGAGCACAGGATGCTCTCCACTGCACACCTGTAGAAGGAGGTGAGGACTGAGCTTCCCAGACCAGCTCGTCTCAGCCGTCTGAGGAAGTAGTCTGTGATGAGCGTTCTTGATCAGGCTGGTGGTGTTGTTGCTCCAGCTGAGGTTGTCATTCAGGTGCACACCCAAGTACTTGTGGTTGGAGACCACTTCCACCGCAGATCCTCTTATGTTCATGGGGTGGGGCGCTATGCAGTACTTGTTTATTGCATTTGCTTATCCAGCAAATGATTGTATAATTCTGTTCTTCATACTTGAACTTGCTTTGATACTGTTTTATAAATTTTATAACATGTTTTTAATAGCCTACAAAACCAACTCAACAGTTTACAAAGTTTGTTGTACATTTATTCAAATAAAAGCATCAGAGAAATTTGGAAATGTTAAATATGCTTAAAACTCAAAATAAATTGACAATTACACTGTACTAACCAGTGTACTTTGGTTTCTGCACAGTATACCCACTACAAAAATGCAGACACGTGTCTGGTGGGTTAGGGGTCAGGTTTAGGGTCAGGGTCAGGGTTAGACATGAATGGAAAATGAATGTAACTCAAATCAAAGTCACTGTAAATGCAAAGTGTGTGTATTTGGTTATAACTCTAGACGCAGCAACAACAAGCTCCTGTCATGGATGGAGGAGAGAGAAGCCCTCCTCCTCCTCCACCTCCTCCTCCTCCTCCTCCTCCTCCTCCTCCAGCCGGAGCGCCACCTGCATGCAAAGACAGCAGCTCTGGGTCGAACCAGGCTGCTGTCCCCTCACTTGACTTTGCGCGCTTTGTTTTCCTCAAAATATTAACACAACGAAGTCCTCATAATGGCGACATTGATCCAGGAGCTCACACAGATTGGTCCAAACTTCCCTGCGCCGCCTCTGATGAGGTTGACTCTGCGTGAGAGCCGCTTCTCTTCATACGTGACATTCCGCTGCGCCGCCGTGGATCCGTGACGCATCTGCGCCTTTAACCGGTTCTCCATCAGTCGTGGGCCGGCTCTGTGGGGGTGGGGGGGGGGGGGGGGCGACCCCTTTTTTTTCTGACAAGTTTTCGTGCTGATTTTTATGTTCGTCATGTCCGGTTGACTTGCTCTGTTCTGTGTTGTGCCACAGAAGAACCCTCACCAGGGCAGAAGTTGCCTGGGAATAAGAGGAGGAGGAGGAGGAGGATGAGGAGGAGGAGTGCGCAGAGAGCGGAGAGGACGGGAAACAGAAGTGACAGCGGCGTTCACGGGGTGCTGAGCGGCTGAGTTTACTACCAGCATCATCAGCATCTCTGCCTGCGCGAGGAATAATAGCAAGAAGAAGAGGAAGAAAAAACAAACTGCTGGGGGACTGCTGCTGCCCACTCCCCTCCGCCGCGCCTCAAACCCGCAGCTGCGTAAACTTGGCCACATTTTGGTGACTGTGCCGCGCGTGTGTGCTGAGCAGCCTGGATGGATCCGCAGCTCATGGAGGGAATCTAAAAGAGCAACACGCACAAAAAGGAGGGATTACTCAGTCCCTCTCCTGTTATAACTTCAAAATGGATGCCCACGGCAGGCTTTGGGGACGCCACTGGATAAGCCGCTGAGCTGTTTGACATCTGAGCGTTTAAAGTTTGGATAATCTGAACGGCTTAAGGTGGAGGATGCAGACTGGAGGCAAGACGCTGTCGGCAGGTGGAGGTGCGTCACTCTGCTGCCTACTTCTCCTCTGGCTCATCTACTCACATCTGCTCAGAGAGGGTAAGGACGCTTACAGCTATTTATTACTTTGCCAGCAGCAGCAGCAGCAGCAGCAGCAGCAGCAGCAGCAGCAGCAGCAGCATTGTCTCTGAGGGTTATTGGGATGCAGCTGCACACTGTGTGGTCAGATCCTTTGATCCAGAGTAAAAACGCCCCCCCAGTGAAGGATAAACCAGCAGAGACCTGGACTGTTTATGCTCATCATTATAGTCTATTGACGGTGACCTTGTTGAACCTTTGCAGTTTGATCTGGTATTTTTCTTGTCAGTGAACGGGAACGTTTTAATGGAGCTCGAGTTCACAGCAACATGCATATGTTTAAACTTTAATCTGTGGTTTGAAAGGTGATTAACAGAACATTCCTTTAAATAGCTCTGAGCTATTAGAAGCACCCTCTAATTTCCCCTCCTGCAGGCTCTCTGCTGCCATGGAGAATAATTCTATAAAAGAGCTTCAGGTGATAAAAGCAACAGAGTTTAATGGTTGTAATTCCCGCTGCAGACACGGAGAGGCCTAATTTCTGCTTCCGAGCATTTTCATTCTGACAGAAAGCTCAAAGATGTGTCTGCTAGTCTGGATTCAAGTGCCATCGAAGGCACAAAGAGCTGCTGGAGTTTGTTGGGAGACGTTTCACACCAAGTGTGCAGATTACGTCTTTTAATCAGCAGCATAATTAGCACTGAGGAGGAGGGATACTGTCAGTGGCTTTTGGCAGCACACGGAGCAAAAGTAGTGAAAAACCAATGCCTTTGAGTTGAAATGTGCTCCATTTGCTCCTAATTCTGAGCTTTTTCTCCAAGCACTGATGTCACCAGCTTCTATTGCCTCTCACGTAATCAGAGGAGGCGCAACACTCCCCCATCCCTCCCCCCCAGCCATTTTATTATTGACTGTTTTTTGTCTGAAATTGATCTCATTAGTGCATTATTTTTCAAACCGCTCTGTGAACTTTTCCAATGGTGACATATTCTCAGAGTAAACGGGAACTTAAACCTGGGATTATAGTTGTCGCCTGTTGCTCACGTGAACGCTAAACTTCCAGTGACCTGTTTTCTTTACACGTGAAATTTTCAAAGATCTGATGATTCGGTGAAGCTGCAAGAACATCTCGGTTCCTCGCAGCTCTGTGGTGTGTAGTTATCAGCAAACACACCAGCGATGTATCCCAGGCCTGATTTAGTTTCCATGACCCAGAGGTCACTTCCAGGGTTGGTAAATTGGTGGACAGAGGCTGCGTTCCCTCGACCGTCTCCGCAGCTCATCTGTCAAAAAGACATGACAGTAAATTAAAAGCACAGCAGCTTCTGTGTGTCGGGACGGTGGCACGGTGAACGACACGTCAAGATGCTACCACTTTATTCAGTAAAACATACAAGAAAACATCTGTATTTTTACTTTACTACATCACAGTTGAGTTTACTGATGTTGGTACAGAGCAGCAGTGATGCCAGAAATATTTGAGGTGATTTCAAAAAGAATAATATATATTTTTTAATCAAGACGTGAGTTTGAATTATCTGTTGACAAAAATGTAGTATTTCACGTAAAACACCAAATTAACATAACATTTCCTGTTGAAGTATTTTGTACTTCTTTTTGTGTTTTACTGCAGTTTTCAACGAATGTTGCACAGAGATATTGAAACCACTGCAGCCACCTTGAACTTGTTTTTTTTAAATCTCTTTTCGTTTTTGGAGTCCATATCCATACTTGCCATCATTTTCCCCTTTCACTAGCACAACTTATCCAGAGCACAACACATAAAGTTTTAAACATAACTCAACTCGTTAAGCGTTTTCAAAATATTACATATAAAAACTAGTGCTTAGTACATTTTGCAGTGAGGACACTTATTGGCAGATTTGGGATAAAAAATAAACCCACCTAACTCCTTTTGATGAAATCTAAACACTGAACCATGCATGCTCACGTGAGTCCTGCTGATGTATTTGTGAAAAAAAAAAAAAAATATATATATATATTATAAACAATTTGACACATATTTGGAAGAATCTGAAAAAAACATCTAACATTAATTGTTGAGTTAAATATAATAAAAAAAATGAGAATAATCAGACTTAATCACTATTAACAATTGTGTTTGTTTTGTGGGCAGCACGGTGGCGCAGTTAGTAGAGCTGCCGCCTCTCAGCGAGAAGGCCAACGCATCAAATCCCGGCCTTTCTGCGTGGAGTTTGCATGTTCTCTCTGTGCATGTGTGGGTTTTCTCTGGGTACTCCTGTTTCCTCCCACAGACCAAACCTGTCCAGGGTGTCCCCCGCCTCTCGTACAGTGATTGCTGGATATGGGCACCAGTGACACCAGTGACCTCCGTGACCCAAAAACGAAGAAGTGGATAAAGATAACGGATGAATGTTAATTTTGATTTTTACAGATTTTATCACAGAATGATCAACTGACAGTTAATGATGTGACACTTTAACTCTGGATGTGTCTTACACTTTCAAATCTTGTGCAAACCAACTCATCCTACCCCCACAACTCATGCACTAATTATACATAGAAACTAAAGTGTTTCTGTTTTCTTTCGTCTCTTATATGAGTTATGCTTTTCTCTCATATCTCCCCCAGAATGCAGAAAGTGCACATCTAAGCTTCCATAGCATTCATTTATATTTGAGCTCAAAATATTTTCTTTAAAACTAAAGGTGAAGGGTATTTTTACCTCATCCTATCTTCACATGTGTGACCATCAGAGTCCTCTGCTGCTCACGGTTCAAGGATTACAAGATCTAACTTGTAGTTTTCTTATTGTTGTAGTTTTTATTTCAAGAATTTTCTCAGTGCGACTGTTTGAGGGCTACTTTAAAGTCCGTCTCTTCTTAACTTGGCAGTCAGGGAGTGAGAAACACAGGTGTGTGGTTGCCATAGCACCACAATAAGCCACGGACAGCAGCTTTAATATTTGTTTGGAGCTTCATTTTCTTCACTATTTTCATGCAGTTATTTTATAAAATTAAAGACCTTTATACTTACATTATTACAAAGTTATGTTATTGTTTTGGACAGTAGTTGCATTGACCCTTTTTAAAAATTGTTTTAGTTGATTTGTTGCATTTGCTTTATGAGCTACAATATTTGTTCTGTTCTGTTTGCAGAAGTGTTCCTGCAAACCACAGTTAAATTAGCTGTGTTCCCACAATGTTGTCCAGATAATATACGGTGGCCCTGAGATGTAAATGAACATTTAAAAAAACAAAAGTACATTTGAAAAAAACACAACAAAAAACACAACATTTGAAAAAAGAGGATTACAGTAAGCCAAACCGGGAGTGACAGGTATTTTAGAGCAATGCAGTTGACTCAGGGACCCAATTTATTTTTTAACAATTTAAGCATAAAAACATTTTAAGATCATAAAAAGTAATTGGATGAGAACTATTATAAATAGTACTATTAAAATTTTATTTAAAAAAAAATGACATTTTTTAAATTTTTATTAGAATTGTAACAATTTCAGGAAGCATGAAAGGGGACGTGGCATTAAACCCAAGCTGCATTTCAAATTAGATTGAGTTATATAAATATATTCATCTTATGTAATGGTAGAGGTGAGTCAAACATATAAAATGAGATTAAGAAAATAAATATTAGCCCACATTTAAACAAAATATACCACATTATGGCATGAGGACTCAAAAGGCACCGACTAATAGGAATGACCCTACTCTGCATTGTTCTGTTTTATGTTGTTAATAAAGTTAAAAAAAATAATAATAGCACCCCCCCACCACCACCACTTCCGGTTTGGCTTAATGTAATTCCATTTTTTCAAATGCTGTTCATGTACACCTCGGGGCCACCGTATATTATAGAGCAGGAAAACATCACGTCAGCCATAACTGAAATACCAACAGGTAAACAAAATGAGCAGAAATAATCCATGGAATTACAGTTTTTCATTTGATGTCCTGAAAGACCAACAGGCTGTAACGTGTCATAATTACAGCGTCACTTTGATTTGTCTGAATATTCCAATCGCTGCAACAATCTCTGCTGTCACCCGGCCTGCGCGAGCCGTCGATGGAGGTGACAGCTCACATTTGGTCCAATATGGCTCCCGGTGGTGTCAGAACACTTTAAAGTGATTCACTTTTGCTTTACAATCAGCGATACATTGATGACAGTCTCACACAGTCCAAATGTCTTCCGCGAAGCAGACAGATTTTATCAGAGTAAATGATTCCTCATGCTATCATGGTGACTTTCTTCCCCCGTTTATATCAGCTGCTGTGCATGAGACAGCAAATCACCCTGGAGCACAAGGAGGCTGAATTTTAAAATCCTCCGTTAGTAATTTCCTTTAACTCAGGGAGCAGGAGCCATCCACGCAAGCATTAAACTAATCAGAGTACAGAAGAATTACTAACTTTTTGAACTGAAAACTATAATTCCCTTTTCCCCCTGTCTTCTTCGGGGCAGCATTAATCATGCAAAAGGCAGACCAGCGCTGATTATGACCTTGGCTGTAAATTGTAAGCAAATCATCGAGGCCTTCATCTATAGGCAGCGGAGCTTTAAGCATCTTTATGGAACAAAATGAAATGATTTTTTTTTTTTACAGCTAAATCAATGTGGCAGCACACAAAGCTCATATTTCAAAGCGCCCTGAATATGAATTCTTTCTAGCCATCAGCTTTGACCTCCCTCGTGGTTGAGCGTAGCAAACTGCTCAGTGTCTGTCTGCATTGTTATTTTCTCTGCAGACGTCTCCAGGCTTGAAACGGTTCCATCGTTGGCAGAGTTCTGCAAACGATTCCAGGCCCAGTCTTGCTTTATGCTTTATTATTCTGCTCTGGTCTGTGTTTTTAATTTCTGAGAAGGCTGTTGAACTTTAAAGTTTGTGATATCATCGTCTCTGTGTTTTTGCATTAAAGGCAGGGGCGATGCTGGAGGGCTTTTTGACTGAGATTTGAAGTGAGTCGCTGTAGCTTTACATTGCTCACTGCATCGGAGTCATACTGTTTGATTTAGCAAAG